CCTTGGACCACGGATGAATAGTCGCCTATACTGCCAAGTGCTCCAACCGGCCACTGTCAACATTCCAACCGCCCCACGCCGACACCTCGCTGCCACGCCGCCTCGCCAAAGACTCTAGAATCACCAGATGCCCTTCCACGTTGAAGCCCTAAAGGTGAGTCACCATTATAGTTTGGCGACTCACCAAATCTCTTCTCTTTACCCGGATCGAAGGGAAAACCAGAGTGGCTATAAAGCTATCATCGAACACCTGTAAAAAAAGAGACCACTACGACAAAAGCAATGCCAAACAGAGGAATACAGAGCAACCAACGACTACCAACAGACAGCAAGCAAAACCAACCAAAGAAAACACACCTACAACGAAAGGAAGATAAGAGATCGAAAGAACTTACCTTGTTGGAGCCTCTCTATGCCGTCGAAAAACCAAAATACCGAAGGTAACCAATTTAGATCTAGGTCGATTTAAGAGATTTTAGGCAAAACGGTTCTCGATTTTGGTTTTAGGGTAAAATGAATGGTGTTTTGGGGTAAATTTATAATTTTCGGCCACCATTCACGGTCGGCGACGGCAAACGGCTGCCGATCGGTGGTCGAACTCTCACCAGTGGGAGGCCTTTAAAGAGAAGGGAGAGAACTTTCTCTCCTTTGAGAGAGAAAGAAAAAAGAAAAAGAAATAGTTTGGCCATTTAGGGTCGGTTTTAGTCCTTTTATACATTCATCAAAATGGTGCCGTTTTGATTAGGGATCTTTGCGTAATTAAGGGGATGGGTAAACCGTCTCCGCAGTCCTTCTGAGTTATGTAAGTTTGCAATTGGTCACTGAAATCAATTTCTGTATGCTTTAATTCGGTCTTTCAATTTTGATTTATTTTATTTCAATCCTTACATGTATATTCATATATAATTAGGGTAAATAATATATTTAGTCCTTATTGTTTTAATAAATTTTATTTTAATCCCGATTAATTAATTATGGATAAATTACTCTGTTAGCATTAAAATTCTATGAGATTTCTAGTTAAGGCCTTTAGGTTTTATATTTTACATTTTAATCACTAATTTTCATTTTTGACTATAAATTTTATATATTTTACATTTTAATCCCTAATAGTTTAATAATTTTTATTTAATATATTTTGCATTTTAATTTTATAATTTTAATTTCTTTTATTTTGATCATTATTTATTTGCAATTTTATTTTGTTTTTATTATTACTTTCGATATGTTTAAATTATTACTTTCATTATTATTTTATTATCTTAGTCATATATATATATATATATATATATTTAGATAATAATAATTTATTTCTTTTTTAATTTTAGAAAGGGCAGTCTTAATATAACTAGATGTCATATTCTGATATTTTAAAACATAAATAAATATCATGTTTATAAATGTATATATATTTACTTAGTTTTTATTTTTGTAGGAAAATTATTATATTCATATTAATATTTATTAATTAATTAATATTAAAGAAAAGGTAGTCTTAAAGCAATTAGATGTCTTTTTCTGATATTTTAAATAAATAAATGTCTTATTTTACAAAACCCTATATATATATTTAATATTTTTTCCTTAGAAGTATCAGATTAAATTTGAAATAATACGATTGTAAATTAAATTCATATTTGAATTCTTAAATTCTATTATTAGAGATAATTTATAATCGACAGGGACCAATTTTGGGCATTGTGGGGGTATTAATCCTTCCCCAAACGTAATCGACCACGAATTCCTTTTTATTATTAAAAAGAACGAATTTCTGGCTAAACGCATACCATTTTATCTTTTAACTGATGTTTTCTTAAAAACTCTTTTAAAAGATGCTTTTTAGGTATTCGACCTACCTGACCCAAAAGGCAGATGACGACTCCCAAAACATTTCAATAAAAACTATTTATCCACATTATTTTTTCCGTCAAATAAAATTTCGTGCCCGAGCGAAAATCAATTACGACACATTATATTTACACGATATATTTACGCGTTAAAATTTGATAATTATAGTATTGTCCCCTGAATTCCATAAATGGTTATAAAATTTGTTGTTGGCAGATTTAGGGGAAACGTGTTCACATTTTCATGTTTCCTTGACTTTACGTAAGCCGTACTCGGTTTCACGGTGGTTTCACTTCGGCTTGGTTTTCTTCCAAAGTCAACCACACAAAATAAAGGAAATCTTGTCAACCAAACAAAAACCTAAGACACTGTCAAGATTTTTTAACTTTTCTTTTAGGTTTATTTCAAAGATGTATTATTCCCAACTAAGTTATCAAATAATATTAATGATAAAATAAAATATTATTTTTTGTAAAGATATTATATTCAAATAATTGCATTAATATTGTATGTGTATTGTCAATTAATTAATAAAATTCTAAATAGATATAATCTATTATCATTCTAAACTATTATAAAAATATATATAATAATTATTCTATGAGTGAAGATGAGATAAATTATTTAAGATTTAATATTTATAGATATTGATATATTTATTTACTTATATAAATTTTATTTTGATATATATATTTTAAATCATTTTTAATAATATCTGTTGTGTTATTGGCGTTATCCAATTCAATTGAAAAGGCAAAATCAAAGGTTTCTTTCAGTCAATTCATTGATCGCAGACTTTTCTTGAACCCGCGGGTGTAGCTTTCCCTATAATACCCATTAAACCAGAAAATATCTGTATATTTTCATTATTACCATTACAAGACAATAAGGTTCTTTTTGTAATTATTGTGTAAAGCGTGGGTATATGGTGGAAATCTATGTCTATAAATACACACATAGTTCATCTTTGCACTTCAATCACAGCAGGCCTTCACGTTCGCTGTTCAATTCAAGCTCTCTTTCTTAGCCATTGCCTTTTTTTTTCCGTTGCTTCAACTTCTTCTGTATTTTCCGGTTCAGTGATCCATGCTGATCGGCGTCGGCTCGACTCTTCCGGCTCATTACTTGAACGTCTTTCACGCCAGGCGAGCAAGCTTCAAGTGCCATAAATCACCTCTAAACCCATCTTCTCAAAAGCCTGTTTCGAGTGTTTCATCAGCATCATCTACTGAGTCGACTCGGGAGCACCTTTCCAACCTTGAAAAATTCCTCCAGAAAACAAACCAACCCGGACCGGAACCAGCCATCAAAGCTTCCAGCAATGGGTTGGTTCAACCCAAGGGTAAAGGTTTGCTCGGAGCGCTAAATCTGTCCAGGATTTGGCCTGAAATGAAAGCCGCCGAAGAGATGTCTCCACGCCACTTAAATAGGCTTAAGAGGCTTTTATCTAAAACCATGGAGTATTCTCCGAGGAACAACCTCGGTTCTCGTTGGAGAGAGTACCACGGTTGCAATGATTGGTCCGGTTTACTCGATCCGCTCGACGAGAATCTCCGGCGAGAAGTCGTTAGATACGGGGAATTCGTTCAAGCGGCTTACCACGGTTTTCATTCGAACCCGGCAATGTCGACTGCCGAGACTCCGTTACCGAGACACGTGGCGTTACCCGACAAGTCTTACAAAGTGACAAAGAGTCTTTACGCCACGTCGTCGGTCTGGTTGCCGAAATGGGTTGACGATGCGGCTCCGGATCTCGGGTGGATGACCCAGAGGTCTAGTTGGATAGGGTACGTAGCGGTTTGCGATGATAAGAGGGAGATTAACCGTATGGGAAGGAGAGATATCGTTATTGCTTTACGTGGAACGGCTACGTACCTCGAATGGGCCGAAAATTTTCGAGCTCAACTGGTTCAAATCCCCGGATCTGAAGATCCGACCCAAAGGGTCGAATGTGGATTCCTAAGCTTGCATAAAACACGTGGCGCTCACGTGCCGAGCTTAGCCCAATCAGTGATCGACGAAGTGAAGAGGTTGATGGAGATGTACAAAGGCGAAAACCTTAGCATTACGATCACGGGGCATAGCCTTGGCGCAGCGTTATCACTTTTGGTTGCTGACGAAATAAGTTCATGCACGTCTGATGTGCCACCGGTTGCGGTATTTTCTTTCGGAGGACCTCGAGTTGGTAACAAGGGTTTCGTTGATCGACTCAACCAGAAAAATATTAAAGTTTTGAGAATTGTTAACAATCAAGATTTGATCACTAAAGTTCCAGCCCTTCCAAGTATGTTCATCGGTGAAGGATCCGAACAACAACAAAAAGATAATGTTTGGACGTATTCTCATGTTGGAACAGAATTACGAATCGATACTAAAATGTCGCCTTATTTAAAATCAAATGCCGACATCGCCCATGATTTGGAAGCTTACCTACATTTGGTGGATGGATTCTTGTCGTCAAACTGTCCATTTAGGTCGAACGCCAAGAGAAGTTTAGCTAGATTACTTCATGATCAAAGATCGAATGTAAAACAATTATATACACACAAGGCCTTGAGCTTGAACCTCGACAGGGACAGGTTTAGCTTCCCTATGGCAAGTTGTTTGCCAAGTCCATCCCAATAATAAGCTAAGCTTATTAATGGAAATGGAAATTGAAAAAAAAAAAGTTGAACATGTACAAGGGTGTCCCTTACTCTTTATTTACTTTTTAGTTCAAAGCATCATAATTCCAAATGTGTATATGAAAATGTCCCTTAAAGGATATTCTCATCACAAAAGACATCAAAGAATTCAATTTAGAATGGAATAATACTGAGGATTAATATAAAATATTTTAAGTTTTAAGGACCAATTTAGAATAGTCACACTTTAAGATTTATATAAAATGTTTTAAAATTTAAGGATCAATTTAAAATAATGATCATGTCTTAAGGGCCAATTTTGCAATTAACTCATTATGTGTATTGTAATAATTGATTTGAGTTATAATTATATAGATACATTAATTGTAATTACAATTTTACATGTATATTGTAATAATTAATATTGAGTGTCATCATAATTGTATTTTCAAAAAAAATTATTTGATTATTTAATATAATCAAAAGAGGCTGATCAAATATTGATAATAGCAAATATTCCTATTTTTGACAAAATGCATTCGTAAAATCAAATAGAATTAAAAGAATAGAAGTTTAAGAGAACATTAAAGAAACACAAAAGATGAGAACATAAAAAGAACGATGAACCACTTTATCAATCAAATGGCATAAAAAATAAAACTAGTTTTTTTTTTTTTTGGGGGGGGGGTACATGCAACAAGTAACACGAAAGGACAAATATCATCATATGAACCCACTAAAACTAATTTTTCTTTTAAGACGAGCAACATCCAGAATTCTGGTTCACGGGCTGTCCTTTGAGCTGCACTGGTGGGGGTCTTGCGTTGTTCATGCCTGGTTGGCTTGCCATCCTGCGTACAATCGTTAAACAAATATTAATAGTTACAAACATGTATAAATCGAATTAAGTTTTATACAAGTATAAGTAAATCAAATCCCGTGTACATCGTATTAACTCCAGTCAATGTACATGATAATTATCTCTCTGTGTGTGTGACATCAGGTACAGTACCTATTCTTGATTGCACCAGCCATGGCCATGAAAGCCTCTTCTACATTAGTAGCATCCTTTGCACTGGTTTCCAAGAAAGGAATCCCAATTTCATCCGCAAAAGCCTGTACAAAGGAAAACAAGTAATGAGTGAAGAAAAGTTCAGGGTTTTTTCGATACCTAAAATTATATTAGTTTGCGACACGTTTGTATGAACAATTGATTTACTTTAGCCGTCTCATATGACACAACTTTGTTTGCTGTTAGGTCACACTTGTTCCCAACTAGAAGTTTGTTCACATTGTCACTAGCATAGCGGTCAATCTCATTCAGCCATTGCTTGACATTGTTGAAACTCTCTTGGTCCGTCACGTCATAAACAACCTGCCAAGATCGCAAGCAGCTCAGAGTTTAATCCTGCATAAAGAAAATTAAGGGACAGAAAACATAGGTAAAAAAGATAGATGTCGGCTTACTATGATTCCATGAGCACCACGGTAGTAGCTACTAGTGATTGTCCTAAAGCGTTCTTGGCCTGCAGTGTCCCACTGCATATCCAGAGACAAGCAAGTAAAGGCAATCAACAATCACTAATTATCAAAAGCAAAGATACAGCCTTTTAAGTGTATAAATCATATAATCTACTCTAAAGGAATGAAAAACAAAAGTATTCAACTTATACAGAAATTCGTAAAATTAGAATTGCCTAGAACAGAGGGAATGAATGCAACACGGTTAAAGCAGACCAAACTATGGGTGTACCAGATCACGGTATGCATTCAAAACCAATATCTTTGGAGAGTCAAACTCAAAGTAACAAAAGAAAAGACTAGTGACTTACAATTTGGAGTTTGATGGTTTTTCCATCCTGCTCCACCGTACGGATTTTCTGCATTTGGGAACCCAAATCATAATTAAGTAACTGCTAATATGTTCGAAATAAACAAACCAATAGCATACAATGTATCAAGACGATACTCACAAAGTCAACACCAATGGTACTAATGTAACTTTCCAGGTATGAATCATCCTGGTTTCAAAAAATAAAGAAGAATGAGTTGGGAAGGATTAATCTTAGGTGAAAAACAAAACGATAACAAATCATGAAGCTTAGATCTAAAAGATTATGATCAAAGAGGGACCAAGAACTTACAGCAAACCTCAAAAGTAGACACGATTTCCCAACACCAGAATCTCCAATAAGCAAAAGCTTAAAAAGATAATCACTGTCAATAAGACGAACAAACTAAATTCAGAATACACATATTATATCTCAATTGAAAGCTCAAAATCAAAATCTCAACGTAGATCAATTGAAGGCTCGTGAAGCAGTCAATATCTTTGTTATGACTTGAGAATATCAACAATCAAACAAAACTCACTTGATTATTTCCATCTTAAAGCCTAAATATCTTTTATGCATACAAAATTCTCCGGAAACTGTTAACTAGCTTAAGAAATCAATTCCATAAAATCACATATTTTAGCAACAATTATTCTTCCATAGCCAACTTAAATATATAGAATATCAATAAAGAGATCTGAAACAGAAATCAATCGGATCCGATTCACAAAGCAAATCAATAATCAAGGTAATGAAAGAAAGTTACAGAGAAAGCAAACAGATCCATAGAAAAATAAATTAAAAACATTAATTAAAATAAATTCAAAAGGAAATAGGAAATTTAAAGTTTTTCCCCCTAAGATTCGAGGGAGGAAAGGAAAATAAGAGCTTACTATTCGGGATTCATGATGGCGACGAGTTAGAATAAACTGAAACCACAAGGTGACGGCGGAGAAGACGGATGTGGCGAGTGATTGGGGCGTTACGGTGAGACTTTCCGGTGATTTGATAACGCCACCGGAGAGAAAGAAAGAGGAAGGGAGATTTGGTTACGGTGAAATCGAAGGAGAAAACGAAGAAGCAAAAGCCACGCGTTGGCGTATTGGTGTCATAAATAAATAAAAGAGCCAGAATTGTTGGGATTTTATTTTATTTTTATTTGTGATGGGAATTAGAGGTGTGAACTGTGACGTGGCAAAGGTAATTGAAGGACTCCACGTGTATGCGCATTGGTGTATAGTTAAAGTATTTAGAAAAAGGGAAAAATTCATTCTATAAACATTCAAAATTTGAATTAATTTTAATAATTTAAAAAATCATTCTATACCTCAATAATTGAAAGGTGTTTGTATTATTAAATTGTGTGTTATTTTAGTATCGTAATTTTATTTTTTAACTACTAAAAATTTTTAAAACATTTTGATTAAAGAAGATATAATATCTAAATCATACGAAATATTTACAATAAATTATCTAAGATATAGATATGTGTAAAAAACTAAATGAATGGTCTAAAGAGTTGAACTCATGCCCTTTGAAGGGTAATGGTATGTAAGCTATGGTACCACTAATCCAACTTGAGAGAAGGACAAGACGATTAAAATCGACTCATTCATTTAAGATAATTTTGACTCATTCATTTAAGATAATCTTGATTAATTCGAGATCTTTAATTAGATTAGTTAATATATGGATTAAATTAATTTTATCGTTGAATTGTAAGTTCTTAAACTTTTTTAAATGAATTGGCTTACAATGACTTAAAAAATCATATATTAAATTATTTTAAAAAGTTTTTAATACTTTAAAAATGACATAATTAAATAAATTAGTTAATATTAATTCAATTAAATCAAATTGATTATTTTTATAAACACACACGGATTCGATTATTATATAAGATGATAAGTTGAAATTATTAAATTAAAATAACTGATCGAATTTATGGAATCAATAGATAAAGAGTAGGTGTTGAAATGAAATGTAAGGTACTTAATTAATTATATACCTTGCCTTCTTCTTTGTATCGTTTAATCAAGTATATGATATATCTATTGGAAGTGGAATCCGATTCGTTTTCTTTTATCAATGTTCTTTTAGGCATTACTTTTCTTTATCTTTTGCATAAAGGCCATTAATCAACGATGTAATAATTATCTTTTTTTTCTCCTTTTCGTGGTCGATAATTAAATTAATTAAATAAGTAATTACAAATCCGTTTTCAGAAGATATTTAAGTCATCTTCAAACATATAATTTAGTTTTTCATAGAGGAAAACATTTTCCATGGAAGATGACATTTCCTTGCTACTTCATTTACGTGTGTATGTATTATTTATGTTGCATGAATAGAAAGCAACATTCTGACAATTCAAGTAAAGAATTTATCCGGTTAAAGAGAGTGATTTTGATGATTAAAGAGAGTATTATTCATTTTTTATGTCTTGAGTTTGAGCAACTGTACTGCTAACCTACCCGATTGATAGCCGAAAGCTAGCGAGACACCGTTGCAATGACAGAAACAGCAAGCGCAAGAATGGGACAAAAGAGCAAACAGGTGGTGGTCGATTTCAGTTTTGATTTTAACCTTTCCTTTTGTTCGTGTTCAATAAGTATTTTGCCCAACCTCCATTCAGATCTTTGGAATTAATGAGGTGGAAGACAAAAACTATAAAAGGTGAAATAGGAAGCCAGGTCACACCGGGAATCGAATCCAGGTCACTGAATTCATAGTCCATAGTACTAACCACTACACCATGGAACCGTAGGCTGGCAGAGATTAGTTTTTTACTTTAGTACCTAATTATTTTTTAATGCTTAGGAATTTAGGTTTAACGAGGAGAGCCATCAAAAACATGAGCTGCCGTAACGTCATGTATTGTCTCATAACACGGCCTCGCCTCGCCTCCGATATTAACTTTGTAGCCGTGGGGTTCAATGAAAAACTAATGTCGATTTAGAAATGAAGAAAAAGGATAAAATATATATTAGATTAATTATATTGTTGATGGTATAGGTTCTGATTCGATGATCGTGAGTAGTTCACCTCTTTTAATTTGAATGGAGAGTATGTTGTTAAGAGAAAGATCGTTGGTCAACATTTTATATCAACGAGTGAGGAAAAGAATTTTATCTAGAATGTGAAACAGCTCCAGTATTACTCGTAATATAATTATCCTGATCGTAGGGTTACTGTTGTAAAATATATGATCATCATTATTACCAATAGACTATCAATTTGAATAGATACGATGGTCAACTATCATATTTGATTGTCAAAGTCGCATCAAAAGTTGATGAAGGAGAGCTAGTGATCATCTGCTAAAGTAGTTCTTGGGGTGACATAAGTTTTTTAAGGTTCTATTTAATTGCCGTTTTAGGTGATTATGTTGACGAGGTGTCAACAATTTCAGATGGATTTACTCCAGAGATATAACATATATTAAAATTACCATTTTGTTATTAAACTTTTAAAAGATATAAAATGATTATTAAATTTATTGAATTATTACGGAATATTCGCTATAATGTTATAATTAAATGTAAAATTTTGATAAATTTATTATAATATTTTGATAAATGATCATTTTATAACAATTTGATAATAATTTTACAACAATTCAGTAAATATAAAAAATTATTTATAGTTTTTTATATTTGATGTAAATTTTTTTATAGTTTTTGAAAATTTAATGATCAAACCTATCATTTTAGCATTTTCCAGTGACTTATGATGTAATTTATCTTATAAATATGCTTTAAATTTAGTGATGTAAATGTTCCATGCTGCTTGATTTAAAGGCCATTGGCCAGTGCGTTCTTAAGAGACTCCAAAGCTCTAATAAACGAAAACAAGCAACCGATCATTAATTGAAAAGCCTATCCATTTCGATGGTTGGGTGATCCGGTGTGAACCGAATCAACTGATAGTTGCCTAATTGGTTCAGCTGGTTTGGTCTGAATTCATCAATATATTCTTTTTATTAATTTGGGTTTTAGTTTTCCTTTTTAAAGAGGAAAAGAAGACCAAAAAATGGGAAAAGACACTTGTCATGTGCCAATTGTACTAAATTTTAATCAACTTTATCAACTGCTTAGCAACGAGCTGCTGGAAGGTGGCTATTACGATGACATTTGTTTCATTAGTGTCTTTACGAGGAAATGAAAACGAGGTTTAATTGATGCTGTTTTCAATTAGATTACCAAATCTTGTACTGAATCAGACATGTTTCATTCCTTTTATGAATTGTTATGGTACGTTAGGTACACCGTCATATCAACCCCGATAATAATTTTTGATAATTCGAATTATCTATATAAATGCTATCAAATTTATGGAGAATGTCACCTGTTTCGTTCACAAGCTTTCCCGAGATGGCAAGCCACAATGATAGCACTGTTGTTATCCCTAAAGTGTCCATTGAAGGTATTCTGACGGTTAGTCCGACGAGGTTGATTGATCCGAGACAGACCCGACTGGTGTTAACGTGTGATCTTGTCGGTTCAGGGATTTTGCAGAGGTGCTTCAACGTGGTCCAATACTACATGAAGGAAAAGGAAGAAGATTCTGGCTGGCTAGTTGCTGGGTGGTTTAAAGAAACACTAGCGAGAGCTTTGTTGGAGCAACCGATGATCTGTGGTCGTCTTCGAAAAACAGAGCGAAACGAGGGAGGATTGGAGATCGTGTCCAATGATGCCGGCGTTATACTCGTCGAGGCGACGATTCAGATGAATCTCTTGGAGTTTCTCGATTTGAAGCCAATGGAAGAGGCCGAAGCTCAGCTTGTGTTTTGGAAAGATATCGATGAACAAAATCCGCAATTATCCCCGCTATTCTATGTTCAGGTAATTAACAATAACTTCAACAGTTATAGATTAAATAAATCATCTTTGAATAAACGAGGTTATGTTGGTATTAATTTGTCTATTTTAAAAGTTATTCATTTGTTTCATGTGTCTATTTGAATTTTTAATATTATAAATTTGTTTAGTGTTTATGAACATATTTATTTTATGTTCTTCAATATGTTAATTTAGCATTTGTGAACATATTTATTTATAAGTTGACATGAACTAAATAAATAAATAAAACTTGTGAAATTATGTCACTAACCTTTAAACTCCTTAAACTTCAAAATTTGAATTCCAAAGTTTACTCTATGTTTAATTTAATCCATTCTTTTATTAACATTTAAAATATAGAAAAAGAAAAAGAAAAGGAAAATTAAATAAATGAGTTTATAAACAAGTCATAAACGAGCTTTTAAAAGAATTTGTTCGTGAATATGAATAAATCGAACACATTTATATTTATGTTCCTCCGTTTATTAAATAAAAATAAAAATCCTTCACGGGAGGATGATTTGGACGCATGCATGGTGAATATCATCGTCACCATTCCTAGATGAGAGGTTCTGAAAAAGATTATTATAATTTATGTATTTGTGTAATATTTATGGTGTTTATATATCCTATCATATAACAATTCTATTTAAAGTATTTTATATTCGACTCTGAGTCGATGTATTATCTTATATCATAACTATATTTATGGTGTCTATGTACTTATTTCGTATTTAAGGTGTTTATGACTTGTATCGTGTTTATGAATCATAAATAAGTTGTTAAAGCATTTACATATGATGAGTTTAGTTGATGTTGAATTATTTTATATAATATTGATATAATTTATATTTGTTTAAATTTTATTTTAGTGTAACAATCAAGCGATTTTAATAGTTAAATGATTGATGATTATTTCTAGAGTTATTGGATTCAAATACTGTGTACAAAGGTGTTCGAGCATTGATATCAAATAGTTGAATCTTTCGAATAAATACTATATTGTAATCACATAAGTCTAATAAAAAAGTTTGATTTTATTTTAAATATAATTTTAAAATTTTATTTAGATTTTATTATATTTAAAAATAATTAATTTAAATATGTTTTAAGATTATGTATAATTTTTATTTATAAAATTATTATATTATTTTAATTTAAGATGTTTATCTTTTAGATAAGATTAGATATTTTAAATTTGACATTATGAATGAATAAATTAGGAATGGAGAGTTATTCTTACAATATGGCAATGCAATATCAATTTGATGAGTAAATCAAATTATGATGGTTAACTTAAAAAAATATTACATAATTTTTTTTAGATAATATTCATATTATAGTGTTATGTATCATCATATATCTGTTTTATTTATATATATATATATATATATATATAATTAAAATTGATAAATAGATATGTTTTTTCTTAAAATATAAAATAGTTTTTCGGTAAAAATAAAATAAAAATATTTTTAAAACGATGAAAAAGAGAAGTAAATTCGCACATGTTCAAGTTATCAGACGAGAACACTGGCGGGAAAACTCGCACGTGTTAAATGTTAAAATCCCTATCACCCGATTCCCGCCCAACTCAGTATCGTCCCAAAAATTCACTGAAAAATACCTTAATTTTCAAACCCTAACATTTCTCTCCCCGTCTTGCTCCCCTGCTTCTCTGTCTGCATCCATAATCGTCATGAAAAGTAACACGGACCAACTCACCGAGTCACTAAGTCTCTCAGCCACGGAGTCTCAAAAGGCCTGGTATGTTTTTCTCTTATAGTCTCGATCGGTAAGCCCACCCCTCTCCCGGACCTCGCTTCCCAGTGCACTCTCTTTTCGGCAAGCTCCGCTATCATATCCTCTCTTCGTTCCATCCCAAACTCTCCGATTACACTCTCGAACGACAAGCATCTCGTTGTTATCTCTTCAATTGGCCTTTCGTATTTCGCCGCTTACTTAGCTCGAAATTTCACTGTCGCCGATGCTTTCACTTCGCTGCCGATTCGTTTCGGTAGTTTCTCGAATATATGGCTTCGCAAGAGAGATCGAGATGGTAAATTTTTTTAAAAGGAGTATTTTGTTTTCACTTTTTTTGTGTAATTTCGCGTTTATGTTTCTTTAGTTGACCTTTAAGTTGTTTTTCAGCTGCGAATTTTTCTGAGGATGAGGAGGAAAGGAAGTTGATTCCCTCATTTAAGAGAATTCGGAATTATCGTACGAAGGTATTTTCTGAGATTATTTTGCACAATAGATCTGTAGATCAACTCCATGAAATTGCGATTTTGTAGTAACTTTTAGATCGAACTGCCTGTATTTTTGGTTTATTGATGACAATTCTAGATCTGCGAATTGGAAATGCCATCAACAAATCTGCTTTTAGTAACAATTGTTCATTTTGGAGTTATAGTCTACAAATACTAATTGACGAAAAAAAAATTCAGGTGCGTTATCATTTAACTGATGATATCAGTAGAATGAGTAGTCCTATGGTCTCGGTAAAAAACACTGAGCTGAACTCCTGTTTGTTAGCTGAATCTAGTGCTAGACAATTAAGCTGTGAAGTGGAGGGCACTGAAAACGTAGAAAGCAAGGTGCACGTGCAAGACTATATGCTAGGACATGTCAGTAAAAAATTAGTTGCCAGTGAGCCAATTGTTGAACCGATGTTTCTAAATGGAGAAACAGTTCACGACATAGAAACCACATCTGTTAAACTCGATGGTATAAACTCTCCAGAGTTTGCTGAGAAGAGCAGTATGTCAGTGGAATCGGGTGGAAATTTTTTTTGTGGATTTTACCGCCACAAATTTTAGAATTGCAGACAATGAAATGGTTCTGGAGGATGATAAGAAAGAGGAGAAACTTAACTTGGCAAGTAGAAGACAAGTAGTTGAAGATCTTTCTCCTCCATTTAACATTAATCTTTCCGATATCCTGCCTAAAATAGATTTGAATAAGATGTCATCCCTAGGTGAGGAATGCGAGAGTTTAACGGAAGTAGCTAGTGTTATGCATTCTATTACTGAAGAGCAGTTGACAGATTCTTCTGCAAAAGCAAAGACAAATCAGATTCAGAGGCATGTGGTGCCTCCAGTATTGCAGACCCCCAACAAGTCTTTAGGGGATACCGTTGTTGTCAGTACTTACAAAAGGAGGAGGCATGGTGTTAAAGATAATTCATCAGTCTGTACTGTGCTGAAATCAATTCAGAACCATAAGGATATATCTGTTAAAGAAAGAAGGGGAAACTCTATATCCATTTCTCTTCAGGTAAGCTCACTTCTCCATTTGAAGCTTTCTGTCTCATGTATGAAGTTATATTATTTTCATTTTTTCTAGTGGCGTCTATTCAACGAGCCTGAGTTGGCTGTTGTGCATTATTTTTAATGATAACCTAAATATTGATCTATGGTTCCTTTAGGACCAGTCAAAGCCAAAAATATTACCCGACTTTGAATCTTATATTGTAGAAGAGGAAGAAGGTTCAGGTACCATAGCTTCAATTTTTCTTGCTTGCATATCACATCCCCTGTGTTCTGCTTATAACTAAAATGATTTATTAATTGGATAAGGTGAAACTTGAATTGGCAGGTGGTTATGGTACTGTGTATAGGGCTCGAAGGAAGAATGATGGGGCTTTTGTTGCCCTTAAATGTAAGGCAAATTCATATAACATGCAGTTGCATTGCTATGCTGTAACGAGGGCTCTTATTGTATTACGTGTATGGGCCATTCCCCTGATGTTATATTACTTATTTATCTCATTGCAGGTCCTCATGCCAATGCTCATAAGAACTATGTTAACAATGAGCTGAACATACTGGAGCGTTTTGGGTAAACATTCTAGAAAATGTTTGTTTCACTTTAAAGAAAACCTTGTTTGTAAAAGTGAAGCAGTTTTCATTAAGCTCTTCTTCCCTCCTCCTTCAATCTTCTGTATTTTATTGTCAATATCAGGGGCAGAAACTTCATAATACGATGTGAAGGTTGCATTAGGAGTGAGAATTCTGATTGCTTTGTTCTGCAGTATGTTGAGCATGATAGACCTGAGGTAATTATTAGAATTTTGGAAGCCATAACTTGTTTGTTCTTCTTGTTGATGGTGAGTTTGTTTCATTGAGCAGGTGTTGAAAAAAGAGATCGATGTTTTCCAGTTAAAGTGGTATGCTTTTTGCTTGTTCAAAGCTCTTGCAAATCTTCATAAAGAGGTATATGATTTTTTAAATGTGATGCATCTATCTACAAAATTACATGATTTTAATTACTCTTTATGAATCTGCAGGGAGTAGTTCATAGAGATGTTAAACCAGGAAACTTTCTTTTGTCTCGTAATACCAACAAAGGTTATCTTATTGATTTCAATCTTGCAATGGTACGTAGCTATGTGCCAACCTTACATGATCATGTGATTGTCCGCTACGTATTTTTCCGCCGATCTTTTTGTTCTCTAATTTAATGATAATCAGTTTTGTTTCTTCTCTTGTTTTGATAGGAAATGCATCAAAACTACAGTAGTACGGGTTAGTTCTTTTTTCTGGATCTTTCAATTAAGAATTCTACTACTGTTTTACTGTAGCAATGAAGAGGAACATCTACATATTTTTGTTTTCTTGTCTGTCCTCTATATCCATAAGAACTGAAAAGAAAAAACGAGAGTTATAAACTGGTTGGTAACTACTTGCTGCTGCTTATCATCCAAATAACTGATCTGCTGTGCGTTGAAATGTTTTGTTTCTTGTTTGTTCCATTCCAGTCAAATGGTATTGCTTTCCATTGTGTATTTAGTTTACCTTCAAAGTTTCCTGATCTACCTACCTCGGTACCTCCTGACTATCAATTAATGATTGATGTGGCATTCTTATGCATGTCACAGACAAATCAAAGTTGGGATATGATGCAAGTTATCGTCGTAATATTGTGCCTGCCAAAGCTACTCATCTGACGGATAGCAGCAAATTTTTAAATATCAAATCAAGAGAGGGAATCAATATTGAGGCAACAAAAGGCTCCAGGTTAACTTTAGAGCCTAAGAAGACAACAGTCCAAAGGAAGGCTCCTCACAACGACTTGGGTAGTTGGAATAAAATAAACAGTCAGGGTGCAGAAGTTTCAGCCATTACCTCGGCAAAGGATGCAAGTGCAAGGACTCCTTCAGCAGAAAGACTCAGAGAACCTTTGCCATGCCATGGTAGGAAAGAGCTCATCACCCTGGCACAGGAAGCAATGCAGCTGACCCCAAAACCTGGAGTGTCTCATGTTCCTGCTCCCATGAGAAAACGAGTTGCTGCTTCTTCAGGAATAATGGATAGACAGATTCTCTATCCTACTCCAATGCCTTTGAGCTCAACTAGCCTTGCGATATCTGGATTTGGTTTATCCAAGAACAAGGGTACGAATTATTTTTGGTGAAATTTGAAATTTTGAAAGAGTAATTTCCCAAATGAAATGCTCCAAACCTTTGCAGGGGATGGAAAGCATAAGAGAGAAGGTCCTTGTGCTGGAACAAAAGGCTTCCGCAGAGGTAATGAACAATACGCTTCAATTTTATGTTTTGAATTTAATTGATAAAAGAAAAACCATAAGAGTGGATAATTTGGTTTTTTCTTATGGTGCTTCAAGCTTTTATGGATTGAATTCATTTTATAAGCAAAAGAGCATTTCGAAAAGAAACATATTAACACCCTATGCCAAATTTTAACCATTTGACCAAAGTAAGAAAATTGATTTATGGTAGAAAATGAACCGGGAGGATGTGCCAACTAGAACTTCTTGCATGTTCAGATTCCATTATACAGCTCTCTCCTTGATAATTGATATTGTACTTCCAATGAATGCCTGGAGTTGAGTGGTTTGTGCAGGTCTTATTCAGATCTCAACATCAAGGTCCAAAGATTGATGTCTGGTCTGCTGGGGTCACTCTACTCTACCTAATGATCGGAAAATCACCGTTCAGCGGTGATCCTGAACAGTAAGATTTCTTCAACCGAAGTTACTTGATCCAGTTTCTGTTTGATTGCTTATGTTGCCAACATCTTTGGCGCTTTCAGGAATATTAAGGATATTGCAAAATTGAGAGGCAGTGAAGATCTTTGGGAAGTAGCCAAGTTACATAATCGTGAATCCTCATTTCCTGAGGTATAAATACAAGTATAATGCATGATTTGCAACTATAATCTATTCAAAAGTAAATTGTCATGTCTTATTCAAGATTCCGATTTTTGTTGCAGGAGCTTTATGGCAAGCAGTCTTTAACATCTATGAACCTAAGAGAGTGGTGTCAAATGAATACGAAGAGACGAGTCTTCCTTTTGGATATACCGGACTCTCTTTATGATCTTGTAGACAAGTGCTTAACGGTAAACCTGAGATTAAGGATTACAGCAGAGGATGGTCTTAAGCATGAATTCTTGGCTTCAATACATGAAAACCTGAGGAAGCAAAGGGCTTTCAAGCAAGGGAATCAGCTTGGACTCTGAGATATCCAACAATCTTTTGCTGGGAGAAAGGATCACTAACTCAATAACTCCAATTTTTTGAAGGTTTTGTGGAAGGTTCGAAATCTTTTCTGCAATTCTAAATGCTGTAAATGTATGGAATTTCATCTTATATGTTCCAGTTGTGTAAATGAATGCATTACCAGAAATAGAAAGAAAAAAATGCATATCAATTAGCTAAGGTTCACCTTTGGTGGTGCATCACATGGGAAGGTTTAAAGGTCTATGATTTATTACATGTCAAACCATCAAAAGTATACTCAAAAACCTATTCTTTGTGTTAAGTTGATGTTTGCTAATCTGATGGTTAAATTTTCTTAAGTTCAAAGTCGGCACAAGATAGTACTGGCAGCATCGGCCCATTAATCTACCTATTCGGTTAACGCTATTTTCTTATAAATGTTTTTGGGTGTAGAGTACACATGTATGTTTTTGGCAAAATATCCTTTGATTATACGTCGTTCTTTGTTGAGTCTTTCATTTATAAGAAGTCATAAAATAATAATCCAATTATTCATATATTCTAAATCAACGATCGTCTTATCATTAACTTTTTAATAAAAAAGAATAAATTTAAAATATACAAATAGTTATATTATTATTTTATAATTTTTAATAGTAAAATAACTAAAAAATAATAATAATATAATCAAAAACTATTTTATAACTTTTAATAGTCAAAAAACTTAATAAAATAATATCCTATAATCACGAGACCCATTTGTGTACATTACCCAATATTTTTTTCATTAAATCAGTAGATTATCGATTTTAACAAAATTTATGATCTAACTGACCGTCTTAATCTGCACCTCTAGCTCCAACATGATTCCACCCCACAACCCAATATTATTCCCAAACAAGGGAAATGTGGCACAACAATAGTACTTGGTAGAGTTCAAAAGAAATCATTACTATCCTCTTCACATATAACTGGCACTATGAAGACTGACTATTTTATAGGGAACAAGAAGTTGATTTAAGCTGTATGCTCTCGAGGATTGTTGGCACAAACAGAGGCTAAGCGTGGTGGTGCTTTTGCATTCACGGATCGCTTACTCCTGCCTTCACTCTTTCCGCCTGTCTCAGAGGGTGAAGCACCTCGCTTTTCTCTATACCTTGTGCTATCAGTAGACCTTCCATGGTGACGGTTACTGACGTCACCAGGACTCCTTCGGAAACTTTTGGTTCTACACGAGTCCTCATGGCCATGACTCTGGGGTTTGGGTTTATATGGAGATCTTTCCCTCTTCCGGCTTCTTTCAATAGGTGATGCACCTCTCCTTTGTCTATGTTTTCCATTATCGATAGGCCTTCTATCACGAGGGATACTGTCATTCGTGGGTCTTCCATACACTGTACGATAACATCTGTCTGACCTTGGAGAATAAGAATCCTGATGGCAATATCTCTGAGGCTTTGAATTCGATGGAGATCTTCCCCTCTTCCAGCTTCCTTCCAATGGTGATGCACCTCTCCTTTCTCTACCCTTTCTGCTATCGGTAGACCTTCCATGGTGAGGGTTACTGTCATCATCGGGACTTCTAGACACCCTATGATAATATTTGCTTCTCTGGTGGCCCTTGTAATGATCATATTTGAAATTGCCAAGATCACTCTTGCTGACATGATCTCCGAGCGAATACCTTGTATGTTCCTTGTGAACTTCTGGTTCTGGATACCGGAAGAGAGACGTAGATCTGGATATTGATCTAGAAAAATGCCGAGATGGAGACTCCAATTGAGGCTCCAACTCCCCATTGCCCCTATGCAAAATGAGAACCACACAAATAAAGAAAGTTGCACATTTCGATAAATAAAAGCACATATTAATGGAAAAGCGTATTATGATGGTTCTATACTAATGTCGGTCTCTATAAGAACCTTTTTGAGCAGAGAACATTCACAGTCTCACACACTCCATTTTTCCTTTCATTTTCAAGGTTATTTATGGGATCTCTCTTTTCAAGATGGAAAAAGTGAATGCACCTATTGAAGTGCTACATGCTCAAGTCAAATGATATATTTTTTTGATAGGAATAGGTCTCATTAAAAACCTCCCTCATAGTTGGCTCTTGTGAAAGAGGCAACTAGCGGAAGGAGGAAAAGAGTACCTCATTATATTAAAACCATGTTTACATAAGATTACAGCTTACTAAATAAACTGTCCGAAATAAAATACAAACCAAAACAACCATAAAGCTCAAACATCAACCAATACCCTCTTTAGCTAGCTTATCAGCCTCCCAATTGCATGTCCTAGGAATCCATCTAACAATAATACCCCTAGCAGAAACTAAGGCCTCAATTTCCCCAACTAAAGTATTGAAAAAAGTAGGGGCAGAAAATGGCAGCAAAATCCAGTCAACTGCTGTTTTACAATCTGTCTCGAGGATTAGTCTTCCCTTCAGAGCACCTTTTAAAGTATATTCACTTACGTTAATTCTACTCTTCATTTCTCTTGAAGTACCCGTATCCAACACATGGTTATGGGGAAATGACTTCTAAATATCCTCCAAATACATGAAAAACCTTTGAAGAGATTAACCGTACCCGTGTCAAATACATACCTGAGTTTGAGTAACAGATGTTCAATCTATATACCCAGCTCAAAAAATGCTAGCATGTATGATTTAAGACAGTAGCAAGTTTATTGAGTGAAACCCAACAATCAGAATCATCAGTTTCAGTATAGAGCTAAGATACCAAAATGGGAGAATGTAGGGTGTACTTTCATAGAGTTAAATCAACGAGAAGCCAGAGAGCTAATTAAACAACTTGTCAATACATTCCTATTGGCTATATATTAAAGACAATCTATGCACAGAATATGCACTGGAGCTGGAGCAAATATATAATAAATGGCGAGAAAAGGGGATAATACGTTAAAGCCACCGTACCTCTCGGAGTTAAACTCTTCTAGTTTCACTTCTGGTGTAACAACCTTTTTACCTAGACGAATCTCACTAACTTCGGCCGCACCTGCTGTGATTTGCTGAACAGCTGCTTTTATCTTTGCCTCCTGTGCATCAGCAAGCTGTTGGGCCCAAAGCTGTTGATTCGCTAGCGATTGTTCGAAACTTTGTTCTTGCTGTGCTATGACATCAATCAAAGCTGAGAGCGAGGGTCCGTGACTCGGTTGGCTTGACGTATACATTTCCTGAGAGGTAGTCTCCATTGCTTCGCCTTCTAACTTTGCACGGGGCTTGGGTTTATATGGAGATCTTTCCCTCTTCCGGCTTCTTTCAATAGGTGATGCACCTCTCCTTTGTCTATGTTTTCCATTATCGATAGGCCTTCTATCAAGAGGGATACTGTCATTCGTGGGTCTTCCATACACTGTACGATAACATCTGTCTGACCTTGGAGAATAAGAATCCTGATGGCAATATCTCTGAGGCTTTGAATTTGATGGAGATCTTCCCCTCTTCCAGCTTCCTTCCAATGGTGATGCACCTCTCCTTTCTCTACCCTTTCTGCTATCGGTAGACCTTCCATGGTGAGGGTTACTGTCATCATCGGGACTTCTAGACACCCTATGATAATATTTGCTTCTCTGGTGGCCCTTGTAATGATCATATTTGAAATTGCCAAGATCACTCTTGCTGACATGATCTCCGAGCGAATACCTTGTATGTTCCTTGTGAACTTCTGGTTCTGGATACCGGAAGAGAGACGTAGATCTGGATATTGACCTAGAAAAATGCCGAGATGGAGACTCCAATTGAGGCTCCAACTCCCCATTGCCCCTATGCAAAATGAGAACCACACAAATAAAGAAAGTTGCACATTTCGATAAATAAAAGCACATATTAATGGAAAAGCGTATTATGATGGTTCTATACTAATGTCAGTCTCTATAAGAACCTTTTTGAGCAGAGAACATTCACAGTCTCACACACTCCATTTTTCCTTTCATTTTCAAGGTTATTTATGGGATCTCTCTTTTCAAGATGGAAAAAGTGAATGCACCTATTGAAGTGCTACATGCTCAAGTCAAATGATATATAAACAATCAATAAATCTGCTGACCTTGGTTACAGGCACCTTTTAAAGTATATTCACTTACGTTAATTCTACTCTTCATTTCTCTTGAAGTACCCGTATCCAACACATGGTTATGGGGAAATGGCTTCTAAATATCCTCCAAAGACATGAAAAACCTTTGAAGAGATTAACCGTACCCGTGTCAAATACATACCTGAGTTTGAGTAACAGATGTTCACTCTATATACCCAGTTCAAAAAATGCTAGCATGTATGATTTAAGACAGTAGCAAGTTTATTGAGTGAAACCCAACAATCAGAATCATCAGTTTCAGTATAGAGCTAAGATACCAAAATGGGAGAATGTAGGGTGTACTTTCATAGAGTTAAATCAACGAGAAGCCAGAGAGCTAATTAAACAACTTGTCAATACATTCCTATTGGCTATATATTAAAGACAATCTATGCACAGAATATGCACTGGAGCTGGAGCAAATATATAATAAATGGCGAGAAAAGGGGATAATACGTTAAAGCCACCGTACCTCTCGGAGTTAAACTCTTCTAGTTTCACTTCTGGTGTAACAACCTTTTTACCTAGACGAATCTCACTAACTTCGGCCGCACCTGCTGTGATTTGCTGAACAGCTGCTTTTATCTTTGCCTCCTGTGCATCAGCAAGCTGTTGATTCGCTAGCGATTGTTCAAAACTTTGTTCTTGCTGTGCTATGACATCAATCAAAGCTGAGAGCGAGGGTCCGTGACTCGGTTGGCTTGACGTATACATTTCCTGAGAGGTAGTCTCCATTGCTTCGCCTTCTAACTTTGCGCGGGGCTTGGGTTTATATGGAGATCTTTCCCTCTTCCGGCTTCTTTCAATAGGTGATGCACCTCTCCTTTGTCTATGTTTTCCATTATCGATAGGCCTTCTATCACGAGGGATACTGTCATTCGTGGGTCTTCCATACACTGTACGATAACATCTGTCTGACCTTGGAGAATAAGAATCCGGATGGCAATATCTCTGAGGCTTTGAATTCGATGGAGATCTTCCCCTCTTCCAGCTTCCTTCCAATGGTGATGCACCTCTCCTTTCTCTACCCTTTCTGCTATCGGTAGACCTTCCATGGTGAGGGTTACTGTCATCATCGGGACTTCTAGACACCCTATGATAATATTTGCTTCTCTGGTGGCCCTTGTAATGATCATATTTGAAATTGCCAAGATCACTCTTGCTGACATGATCTCCGAGCGAATACCTTGTATGTTCCTTGTGAACTTCTGGTTCTGGATACCGGAAGAGAGACGTAGATCTGGATATTGATCTAGAAAAATGCCGAGATGGAGACTCCAATTGAGGCTCCAACTCCCCATTGCCCCTATGCAAAATGAGAACCACACAAATAAAGAAAGTTGCACATTTCGATAAATAAAAGAAGCACATATTAATGGAAAAGTGTATTATGATGGTTCTATACTAATGTCAGTCTCTATAAGAACCTTTTTGAGCAGAGAACATTCACAGTCTCACACACTCCATTTTTCCTTTCATTTTCAAGGTTATTTATGGGATCTCTCTTTTCAAGATGGAAAAAGTGAATGCACCTATTGAAGTGCTACATGCTCAAGTCAAATGATATATAAACAATCAATAAATCTGCTGACCTTGGTTACAGGCACCTTTTAAAGTATATTCACTTACGTTAATTCTACTCTTCATTTCTCTTGAAGTACCCGTATCCAACACATGGTTATGGGGAAATGACTTCTAAATATCCTCCAAAGACATGAAAAACCTTTGAAGAGATTAACCGTACCCGTGTCAAATACATACCTGAGTTTGAGTAACAGATGTTCACTCTATATACCCAGCTCAAAAAATGCTAGCATGTATGATTTAAGACAGTAGCAAGTTTATTGAGTGAAACCCAACAATCAGAATCATCAGTTTCAGTATAGAGCTAAGATACCAAAATGGGAGAAGGTAGGGTGTACTTTCATAGAGTTAAATCAACGAGAAGCCAGAGAGCTGATTAAACAACTTGTCAATACATTCCTATTGGCTATATATTAAAGACAATCTATGCACAGAATATGCACTGGAGCTGGAGCAAATATATAATAAATGGCGAGAAAAGGGGATAATACGTTAAAGCCACCGTACCTCTCGGAGTTAAACTCTTCTAGTTTCACTTCTGGTGTAACAACCTTTTTACCTAGACGAATCTCACTAACTTCGGCCGCACCTGCTGTGATTTGCTGAACAGCTGCTTTTATCTTTGCCTCCTGTGCATCAGCAAGCTGTTGGGCCCAAAGCTGTTGATTCGCTAGCGATTGTTCGAAACTTTGTTCTTGCTGTGCTATGACATCAATCAAAGCTGAGAGCGAGGGTCCGTGACTCGGTTGGCTTGACGAATACGTTTCCTGAGAGGTAGTCTCCATTGCTTCGCCTTCTAACTTTGCGCGGAAGAGTGGATTTTTTCAAACTCAAGACCAATCTCCACCTGCAATTTTCAAGCAAGGTAGTCCTACTACTGGAAGCAAACTATATTAGGTTTCAAAGATTTCCCTAACCTTTAACCATGTTACTGGAACTTCCGTTTTTCTTAAGATATCTTTCAAATATCCGAACATAGATACCAGATATTATCCTTCAAATATACGGAAAAAAATGTGAACATGTACATTCAATTATCTCGATAATCACACTGAATCCAAGTAGTATAGATCATTTTCCAGGCTTTTAACAAATGCAATACAAGTTCACAAGTTATACACTTAACTCTTGGAGGGTGCAAACATACCTAATTATAAACATTCAAAGTTAATCAATAAATCGTTTCTTCAACAGTTGAGTAAATGCAGCCACGCTCTTCATCTGGGGAAAAGAACAAGAACATCAATGAAAATTCCAGACTAAATTTGACAATTAAACTAGCATTTTTCCAGAAGCAGCATATAACTCGAGTACTGAAATATGATCCCCCAAAGATTTTTCAAACACATGAAAAATTGAAAATACTAGACTCACACGACTCAATGCTTGAGTACGAGTAACACGAGTCGTAAATCGTAAAATAGGTTAAATCTGCTGTCTATCTTTCTCTTCTAGCAAAATACTTACTAAATTACTTGCACTATCTAATTAAACCCTAGAAATGCCGTGCTTAACGACTCATAAAAAAAGTACCAATAAACCGTAAAAAAGAAGAAACACATGAGGCAATCATCAAATAGAAAACACAAATATACCGATAATATGTCATCTTCTGGCCCATCGTATGTTTCCAAAAGGCATGATCGCATGAGAACAGCAAAATGAAAGACGAAGAAACGCATCGAAGATAGATAACGCGACGAAGAGAAAAATAGCGTGTTTAAGAAGCTAAGGACGACCATCTTTTCAGATCACGTGCGTAAAATCACGGTACCGTAAATGGAGTAATCGGTAATTATCTTACATGTTTATTTAAATTAATTTTATTAACATAAATCAACTTACCCGTGGTTAAGTAAATATTATTATTTTTTGAGGTCGGTTTAAATACCGTATATGCAAGGGTATCAACGTCAATGTCAAATGATTTAGAGTTTTTGAACATATACTATTTTGTTCATCTAAACTAATAAAAAGTTAATTTTATTAGTAACTTAATTCATTTTTAGGGTAAAGTACACAAATAGTCTATGACTATAGGATATTAATTTGTTGAGTCTTCGGACTATTAAAAGTTACAAAACGATCACTCAACTACTCATTATGTTCCAAACTCAGCCTCTTCCGTTAAAAAATCAACGGTCGTCTGAACTGGACGTTAACATGTTGACTGAGATATAATAATTGTTTGAGATTATGAGATCAAATTTTATCATATATCAGTCATCATGTTAACATCCAACTCAAATTTTCGTTATTTTTTTAACGAAAAATGATGAGTTTGCAATATAATGAATAGTCATGTGACCATTTTTGTAACTTTTAATAGTCGAAGGACTCAACCTCCCTATAATTGAGGGACCATTTTGTAACTTTTAATAGTCGGGGACTCAACAAAGTTGTGTTGGGATTTTCAAAGCTCAATTGACAACCGAAAATATTTGCCAAGAGGGGTTGAATTGATTTTTGTGTTTAGGGAGTAAGGAGATTAGAAAGATAGATAATTTGCACAGCGATTTATAGTGGTTCGACTTTTCAACCAAGTTAACATCCACTACCTTAGCTCCTCACTAAGGATTTTCTAACAAATTCACTAATTTGTTCTTTCTTTTTCATGGACAAAGAGATAACCTTTACACTCCCTAGTTTTTCACTTGGCTAAACTAGAATCAATCCCCTTTACAAAAGGTAAAAAAGAAGCAAACAATAAAACCTCTTAAAGGTATGATGTTTACAAAATAAAGATCACAAAAACACAATATTTACAAGATAAAGTACAATAAGAATGTAAAACTCTTCTCTTGTGTTTGATTGCTTGGATAGGTGTTTTAACTCTTCTTCAAGTGTCTTGAACTTGTATTTATATGTTAGAATGTGTTTGTGGCCGTTTTTAGCCGTTTGGGGATGTTTTCTTTACAAAAATAAATTGCCCAGTACATAGGGTATCAATAATATAGGGAGTATCGGTACTACCTTTTTAATATTTAAATAAAACTAGTCGTTACTAGACGTTGCAAGCAACTTGTAACTCATGCATGCTTAAACCTAAATGAGCAACCAAATAATTAAAAACAAAAACATAAAGCTTAGAGGCTACTCATTCAATTTCAATTGTGGCTAGAGCATTTGAATATCTTCATTTTCATCACCATTGCTCTCACACACCTACAAGAGACATTTAAGTAAATTTTGGTATCCAAATTGCTTTGAATCCTTGAACATTAGTTTCAATGCCCCTTGTTCCCTTGGGAACCCATACTTGTCTAATTTTAAAAGATTTTATTTTCTTTATGGGACAAGCATGTTCCATGTAACCATGAAAATTGCAATGTGAGCATTTTTCCATTTTTAAACATAATGAGTTGTTTTTAGAAATTAATTATTTTTTTGTTAATATCTCAAGCTTAACTTTCAAATCAAAATTCTCTTTTTCTAAATCATTGATTTTGACTTTTGAAAACTCTAAATCATTTTTCAAAGATTCATTTTGTTTTTCAAAATCAACTTTTGCTTTCAAAACCAAATCATTTTCAACTTTAAGTTTTGAAATTAATTTCTTATATTTGGAATTCATAGTCTCAAATTCCATGTACAACTTATTGTAAGCAACTTGTAACTCATCAAAAGAATAAGAATCTAATTCATTTGAGTTAGAAGTTACCATTGAATCATCTCCGATGGCCATGGGGCATAGATTGACTATTTCATCTTCATCATTGGAGTTATCTTCATCACTCCAAGCCGCTATAAATACCTTTTTCTTGTTTGATCCCTTATTCTTTAGGAGGGGATATTCATAATTGACATGCGTCGTTCTTTGACATTCGAAGTACATCGGGGGACTCTTATTTGTGCTCGATTCATGCTTCACTTCCTTAGAAGTCATGCATCTCTTGAATTTGTTGAAGAGCTTGGCCATCTCTTCTTCTTCATCATCATCTTCATCTACCTCTTCATTTGATTCTTGATTGCTCTCATTGGTGGATTTGAAGGCAATGCCTACCTACCTCATTCTTTTTCTTGTTTTGCTTATCGTCATCTTCCTCATCTTCCTTCACCATCAACTCATGAGTGAGAAGAGAACCAATAAGCTCATAAAGAGTGAGAGACTTTAGATTCTTAGCCTCAATGCTTGTCGTCTTCTTCGATTGCCAATACTTTGGAAGAGAGTAGATCATCTTCTCACAAGCTTCTTATTAGGGATTACTTCTCCAAATCACTTGAGACTGTTGACAATCACGAAAAATCTATCTATCATAGCTTTGATGTCTTCATCCGGTTTCATTTTGAAATTTTCGTAGCTATGGTTGATAAGGTTTATCTTGGTTTCCCTCACTTTATCGGTTTATTCATGAGTGACTTGGAGCTTGTCCCATATCTCCTTAGCATTGGAACAATATGAGACTCTTCCATATTCATCAAAGCCTAATGCACAACATAGAATGTGCATAGCCTTAGCTTTGAGTTGGAACTTCTTATTATCTCCATCATTCTAATCATTTATCTCACCGGGTGGAATGGAGTATCCCTTCATGATTGAGTTCCAAGCTCCTAGATCATTGGTTTGAATGAAGAGTATCATCCAATTCTTCCGATAAGCATAATTTGCTCCATTGAAGTAAGGTGACTTGTTGATCGGTTGAGAATCTTCAATGTAGTAAGAGCTGGAGGTGGAAGACATCTTCTTTTCGGTTGCGTCGAAAATCGGTACAGTTTCTTCTAGCATAATTGTTGGGATTTTCGAAGCTCAAATGACAATCGAAAATATTTGCCAAGAGGGGTTGAATTGGTTTTTGTGTTTATGGAGTAAAGAGATTAGAAAGTTAGACAAATTGCACAGCTATTATAGTGGTTCAACTTCTCAACCAAGTCTACCTCCACTACCTTAGCTCCTCACTAAGGATTTTTTAACAAATTCACTAATTTGTTCTTTCTTTTTCAAGGACAAAGAGATAACCTTTACACTCCCTAGTTTTTCTTTTGGCTAAACTAGAATCAATCCCCTTTACAAAAGGTAAAAATAAGTAAATAATAAAACCTCTTAAAGGTAGGGTGTTTACAAAATAAAACTCACAAAAACACAATATTTACAAGAGAAAGTAAAATAAGAATGAAAAATTATTCTCTTGTGTTTGATTGCTTGGATAGGTGTTCTAACCATTCTTCAAGTGTCTTAAACTTGTATTTATATGTTAGAATGTGTTTGTGGCAGTTTCTAGCCATTGGGGATGATTTTTAGCCGTTTGGGGATATTTTTCTCTGCAAAAATAAAATGCCTAGTACAGAGGGTATCGATACTCCTATAGGGAGTATTAACACTACCTTTGTAATATTTAAATAAAACTAGCCATTACTAGCCATTAGGCCTGACGGTATCGATACTATTATGTAAAGTAGTATCGGTACCCCTTTAGGTATCAATACCATTTTTGCATTCTAGAATTTGAGTAATGCTGGTAGTATCGGTACTACCTTAAGAGTATCGATACTTCTCTTACCTTGGGTATCGGTACCACATGAACAGTATCGATACTGTTCATATAGTATCGATACTGTAAGAACAATATCGGTACTACGTACGTTGAAAATCAATTTTGTATGAATTATTTTTGAAAACTTTGAATAAATTCAATTCAATTCCAAAAACATTTTGTCTTAATTTGTTATATCAAAGTGTTGGTTCGACAACCGGAACGGTGTGCAAAGAGGGGTCGGAACGGTTTTTGAGTTTAAGGAGTAAGGAGATTGAAAGATAGAAAATTGCACAGCGATTTAGAGTGGTTCGACTTTCTAAACCAAATTCTACGTCCACTACCTTAGCTCATCACCAAGGATTTTCCAACAAATTCACTAATTTGTTCTTCCTTTTGAGAACAAAGAGATAACCTTACAACTCCCTAGTTTTTCCGAGCTAAACTAGAACCTTTCCCTAGCTTTTACACGAGATAAGCTAGAACCTTTCCCCAGGATAAGCTAGAACCTTTCCCCTTTACAAAAGAATAAAATAAGTAAACAAGAAAACCTCTCTAAGGTAGGTGTTTACAAGATTGAGCTCACAAGAACAAAATATTTACAAGAGAAAGATGAAATAAGAATGAAAAACTCTTCTCTTGTGTTTGATTGCTTGGATAGTTGTTCTCTCTATTCTTCAAGTGTCCTTAACTTGTATTTATAGCTTGGAATGTGTTTGATGTTGTATATAGCCGTTGGGGATGTTTTGGAGCCTTTTGGGGATGATTTTTCTACTCAAAAAGGCTGCCCATAACATGGTGCATCAGTGCACTATCATGGTGCATCGATACCCCTTCATTAAATTCAAATAAAATAGCCGTTGCAACCTTCGTGCATGGATGCACAGCCTTGATGCATCGATGCACATAAGGATGCATCGATGCACTAATTGCATATTTGCATTCGGTGTTTGAGTGCATGGATGCACTGCATGGTGCATCGATGCACTAGTGCAGGTGCATGGATGCACTGCATGGATACATGGATGCACTGCAGGGGTGCATGGATGCACTTTGACACCCTTTAGCATTTTGGCTCAAATCCGAATTTAATGGACTTTGAATTATTTTTAAAACCTTTTAAAACTTTGAATAAATTCAATTAAGTCCAAAAACATTTTGTAAATTCAATTCAAGTCCAAAAACTATTTTGCCTTAAATTGTATCAAAACATAGTTCA